ATATACACACTAGGAAAGGAAATTGAACCACTGTGGCGTGATCATAGATGATATTAATGCAAATTAGGTTACTTTTAAACTAAATCCTAGAAAAATATGGACATGTCTAATTTATATTAAACTTTTTTTTATTACATATTTAATAATAGGTCATATAACAATGAATAATCCTTATATTTTCTCAATTTCAAACTTGAAAACTCTAACTTAAAATAACTCTTACCACCATCGAAGGCCAAATTGAGGTTAAATTGTGACAAATCAATGCATTCACTATGTTAAATCAACCACAATACTAGTCAGTTCAGATTATTCTGCCAGAAAAGAAAAGAAAACTGGTAGGCAGAGATGGACATAGAAATCTTTTACAAGGCGGTTGAGGTGGATGGAGGGATGAAAAAAAATTACCTTTCATCATACAATCCAAAATGTAGTTAAAAAAAAAAAAAAAAAAATTGCGCACACAAAAATTATCCCCCAGAACACATGGTTGACTATTTTTTCCTTTTATCGATAGAGTATTAGGAGGATATAGACACTGTTTTGTTTTTCTGGACAAAAAATGGACATCCAATCCAACCGTACAGGACTGCTGCCAGTGTTTTTATGCAGCAGTCATAATACATACAATGAGTAACCCAAGCCAAGATATGGCCTACAGGCTACAGGCTTTTCTCCTCAGCTTTATTTTTTCCCTTTTTTATTTTTTCTAAATTCAATACATTTGTTTCCTGAAGGAATAGAATCAGCGATTCCTTATACACAATTGAGGAAAATCAGGGATTTCAAGGTGTGGTATTTACTTACCGAAATCTAGTGCTCCAGAGGTGAGCTTGGTTGGTCCTGATGAGAAGAGATAACAAGCCACTGCAAGGATTTTAATGCTACCGTGAGCTGAGCAAATGAGGGCCGCAAATTTGGATCACTGGAGAAAATTTGACAAGGAGGTATTAAACTGGATTTTGATATGGTGAAATTGAGAGAGAATGATTAAAGAGCTAGGATCAGATATTTTGACATACGTCTGCCAACATTCCCAAATAATCCCTGCAACCAGGGGATCAACTTCAGTGGGGATATCAAGGCGTCGATTTTGAAAACCAACTGCACCAACAACTTGCATTGGATTCATTCCACTCCAAGGCAATCTCAGAGTAGCAAGCTCCCAAAGGATGACTCCAAAGCTATAAACATCACATCTACACATCCAGTCCAAAGATTCACATAAGTTATTTCCTGCTTATACTCATATTTTGGCAGCTTTGAAATCAATAATTTGACTCAAAGAAGTAGCTGAAACAACTGCAGTGAGCACCTATTCAACTGGCAAAACATATTTCACAGAAAAGATGGACAACTAACTGCAATCAGAATATCAGATAATGGCTAAAGGCCCAGATAACTCAGAATGATAGATAACAAAGCAATTAGACACTCAGATAACCATTTCTGATATCTAAGTTACCTTCACAGCAGTCTGAAAACAAATCAGAGCATTTTCAGTTACTTGAATGATCTATAAAGCAGTGATGAGCATTTTATATCCAAGCAGAAGAAAAGGGAGGAAAAGGTATTCATAGAAGAAGTAGACATAAGTTGATAGAATTGTCATAGACCTGAAGAACAACTCACTTTTCATTTGAGGGCTCATTGCGAAGTAGTTCTGGTGCCATCCACTCAGGCTAACATCATAAAGACAACTCATCAGAGATATCTTGGAAGGGTATAAACTCAGCACACCCTATCTTTATTGTCAGAATTTACAGAAGAATATATCATACAAGGGGTGAAGATACTCACCGTTCCTGCAGTTGATTTTGATGAGAGGAAGGTATTATGCTTTAAGCGTGACAACCCAAAATCACAAACCTGAAGGGTTTATCCAACAAAAATGTTAATACCAAGTATCTTGCAACAAGGAAGGAAATTGGTCATGCAACACCCTCAATTAAACTCCAAAAAGAAATGAAAAGAGGCACAGCTAAGTCAGTACAACTGTTTATACGCAAACAAGTCAAGCTTGGATGAAAAGATATATAAGACTTTCCTTGAACTATATGATGACTTGCTCAAATTTCTAATTCATATATATTTGGCAGCTCTTATTAGTTTTCCATTATGAATTTATGACTGAAACGAATACAAATGCATGACAGCAGCTTAAAAAAGTTAATGTTTAGAAGTATAAGACAAACTAATGAATCCACAATGTTAACTAATTAGATCATAATTGATGCAGTGGCATTAGAACTTTTTGATGTAACTCATGAAAACAATAAGAAGAAACAAGAAGAGAATCCTTGTGCCTCAAGATTACACCAATCAAAAAGCAGACCAACCAGTTTC